GTCATCACCAATGATCCTCACTTTCTTCTTCTTTCCCACATAAACTGGCGACCTTAACTATCCCGCTATCTGTGAGACATGTTGTGACAAAATCCTTTCCAAACTTCAGTTCACGAGGCGTGGGGGTCCGCTTGGCACCCCGTGTGTTCCAAATATCTGCATCTCATCTGTGTCTTAATTATGTACCCTTGTTGTTCCCTATGCTATCTTTTGTTTCAACATTTTGTTGCTGATTGTTTTCGAGTATCCTTTCAGTGTTTTGGGCACGTCTTCTGCATCTGTGTCCTTTCCTTGTCCCAGGTCCGTCTGTCCAATCTGCCAGACCCACGTCTGCTGCATCTGTTTCCTTTCCTTGTCCCAGGTCCGTCTGTCCAATCTGCCAGACGCACTTCTCTAGCCGTACCACCAAACCAGGCAAAGAGGCTGACAACTACGTCTCCAGGGTAGAGTCTGCCGTCCGGGTTCAGCTGACATTTCTCTGTCAGCAAATCTATTTCCTTGCTACGTTTGTAGATCATACACCTGTCGTTTTCTACTTCAGAGTATGGCCACACCACAGCACAAGTCAAGATGCACGAAACAAACCATAACTGTAGCACGTCATATCAGCGTTCATGACAGCCTGTTCTCATGCATGTGCAGCTTCCCCTGCAACTGCATTTCTCCCTACAGTCTAATCAAGGGGTTTGAGGGGGAGGGGGGAGGACGGGAGGTGGGGGGGCGCAGGGGAAGCGAGGCACCAACTCACCATCGGAACCAACAATAAGGCAGGGTTTGGTGGCCCCTACCTTTGAGGAATTCGAAGTGCAGAAGAAAAAAAAAATATTGGGGCTACATCATGCCCAAAAACTGTGTGCATGTGTGTGCGTGGGTGTGTGCATATCCTGATTGGATCCTGTCTCTTTGCGAACAGGCCCCTGCAAAAACATTCACAAGGGCTCATCACCAGACAGAGTAGGTCGTCAAATAATGAAAAAGATGTGAGCAGGCCACGAATATATGGTCTGGATTCGAATTCAGGTCTGTGTTTCAGCAGTTATGGGTTACAAACTCAGCTGGGCCCTGCTGGTCTCTGCACGTGGTTTCCCTTTGTTTTGTTTTGTTTTCCTTTTCTTACGAATGCTACTCACCACGTGCACAAAAGACAAACATATGGCGGCGTATGGTTCCGTGTTCTAGGGGAAGATTCATTCGAGTTTTGCACATTTGGTGAGTCCTGAGAATCAAGTGAAGAGACCAACAGGGCCTAGCTAAGTTTGTGACCCATAACTGCTGAAACACAGACCTGAATTCGAATCCAGACCACATATTCTTGGCCCGCTCCCACACTTCCGTGAATTTTGTGCCTGTCTCTGCTCGAGGATAGGACCTTACTGATTTACTAGAAGGACCCCTCGGATTCTCTGCATGGGCCCTTTAATTTATGTGGAAGGCGGATTTTGCTCTCTCTCTCTCTCTCTCTCTCTCTCTCTCTCTCTCTCTCTCTCTCTCTCTCTCTCTCTCTCTCTCTCTCTCTCTCTCTCTCTTGTATACACAAACACCCCGCTGAAAAAAGAAGAAAGAAAAGAGCGCATCTTCAGCCCAACACTAATTTCCGCATGGTGCATGGCACACGCGCACCGCACAAGTGTGCCGCAAGTATGAAACAAGACCATTTGAAGTACGCGCTCTGCAAGCGCCTTGGGGCGCGAAGCTGGATATATGCTGGGAACACTGCCGAGTATCCGACCAAATGACAAATGTGTGGGCGCGGACAATCAGCAGGGAAGTCTTGCAACTGCACTGTGCGCCCCACTGCCATGCGGCACAGAACCTGCCCGTAGATACAGAATGGTCTGGTTGAGCACGACAAAATGTGTCGGTGCGGACAATCAGCAGGGAAGTCTTGTTGTCCTTTGGGACATCCGTTAAAATTGGAACGATACAGAGAAGATTAGCATGGCCCCTGCGTAAGGATGACACGCTAAAAAAAAAAAAAAAAAAGCAGGGAAGTCTTGCAACTGCACTGCCGTTCGGCACAGAACCTGCCCGTAGATACAAAATAGTCTGGTTGAGCACGGGCATGTACACAGTGACACATCCGGGGGCCGTTATCAGCAGGTTGGACAAAGACTACTATCAAGGGTGGAGGCAGTTAGAAAAGTGAGAGCAGTGGAGACAAGAATTTACCATCTTTGAGCCCACATCTTCCGTAGAAGATTTAGAGTTTGATCCAGTAGAATGGTGACGGAATATGAGGAGTGGGAATTTGAAAGTGGCTAGAAGAGTAAATGTCCTGGAATATACGACGTGGTTGGGATATAACCTTAGAAGGCGCCCCTGCCAATTGCAAGAAACACTACCTAAGCGCTGGGTTAACAAAATGGGTACGGACCAGACCAGAATCCCAATAATACCATGGAACAGCCTGTCATCGATCAGGTTAAGGAAGGTTGGAAGCCTACAATGGTTGATCATGCATCTGGCCTTGCCAGTAAATGTCTGGCTCCACGTCCGTAGGAGTCAACAACACAGGGACGAGCAAAACAAGAAATGTGCAGCCTGTACAGGAGCAACAGAAACCGCAGAACATTGCCTAATTATTTGTCATGAAGCGCAGGCAGTTTGGGAAATGGCCAAGTCCAAACGGGAGAAGGTGTCGAGTAAGCAGTTTCGGGTGGGCATAATCCAGCTGCTGATGGAAACGGCCTCATCGGGTTCTTGGGGAGGAGGAGAAAAGGACATATATAATCTGCCAAGGCAGTATGCCTTGGGGACCATTTGGAAGAGGAGATGTAATACACACTAGAGAAGAGGCCAATGCAAAGACAAGAAGCAAGAACCATGGCAGCGATAGAAGGGACAAGGATAAAATTCCAATGGTGAAGACAGGGGAGTGAGTGGAGAATATGGAGGCTACGGAAGCCCATCAGGGGGGCACAAGGAATCTTTCCATTCCTACACCGTGAAGCAGGCTACCAGGACAAAGAAATGTAAATGAACAGGGATAAGGGTGGGCTTTAAGGGTTTGGGTAAAGGAAGGGAAGGGGTATATTAAACTTTATTTAAGTTAGAGACAAAAGTTACAAGACAAGTAGACAAGATCCTAGAAGGAAAGAGCAATCAGTAGAGGGCGGAGGGGAAGACATCGAGGGGCTTTCGGAACCAGAGGACGTGGGGTTAGAGATCAGGGTGTATTAAAGGAAATGGCAGTTAGGGTTTAGGATTTAGGGGCAAGGGCGAGGGAGTTAAGTTGAGAAAAAATGGATCAGATGGAAACAAGGGAGGGTCAAGAGAGGGTCCTGGTTTAGGGACGCAAGGTAAGAGGGAGGGGGGGGGGGGGGGGGGAAGGTAAAAAGGAGAGGTTGGCAGGAAGGCAGAACAAGATGAACAGAAATACAAGGGGGAAAATAGAAGCAGGTGAAGTAAGGGGTAAGACAGGAGAACTAGGGCTTATGATTTAAGCTTAGGAGGTGGAATTACAGGTTTACCTAGGTGTGGTACTTCGGTTCGGGTCCCAGAGGATCACATCAAACGCATAACACTGGGTAAAGCTCCAAGATCCAGTCTTCACGTGGGGTGGCCGGCCCCTTTTCCAGGATAATAATGAAAATGACGGTTAAAAAAAAAAAAAAAAAAAAAAAAAGAATAGTACACGACCGAAGGAACAGATCCTTTTCAAGTACAGTTGTACAAATTTTTCTTTTGTCCTATTGGGCATGAGAAATATCATCAAATAGATGTCTGGGACATCAGCCTCTGTCTCTTATACACATCTAGATGTGTATAAGAGACAGGGGCGTGGGTGACCACTGACCACTGATCCATGCCTGCGACCACTTTTTCTTCTGAGTGCCTATTTTCCCCCTATGCCACACATGTCATGTGCGCTGTACGTGCGCAATTTTCCGCATGGCGTTCGCTTGCATGTATGAACAAAACACATCTGTGTCAGACACACAACATAGACCCGCCTCCTGGTGTGACACTGCGTTTACGAAAACACATGGGAGAGAGATATACGGCCGCACAGCGCACACCGGACATCCTTGAATCACACCATAACTTCAGCAAAAAAGATATGTGTGCAACAAACATCGTGCGGGACATGAACGTTATGAAGATCTTGACTTTCAGGAATCCACAGCCAAATTCAACATCCAACAACACACAGGGAGATATCAATAGAATTTGGCACGCAAAAAAAAAAGGCAAATCGCCCACACAGGGCCACACCCGCTAAGCTTTGGTATTATGGTTTCATATGCAGGCAACAACGTTCTACTTCATCGCCACCAATACTACTCATCTTCCTCTGGGGGCAACACTGCACAGACTTTAACTTGTGAGATCTGATCTAACCCTCATATGACGTGATGATTGACAGGTCTCTTGCAAGGGGGTAAGCTTCAATCTCCGGTGTGACGCTCCCCAACGAGCCCCCATGCATACAGACCTTGCAGCCCTTTATGCTGTGGACTCACCTGATCGTTACTCAAGGGCACTTCTAAATAAATTCATGGTGAATATGTTTTTGTTCAGTCCTTTGTGGCACTTGCACCATTCTATGATATCTCCCTCAGCATCAAGGCAAAGGAACCAACAAGGAAAAGGAAGAAGGAAGTCCAATGAAGAAAATAAACTGCCTACCAGGCAGGAAGAAGCATGACCACATTCCATCGGGGAAGCAGCATAGAAGCGCAATTCACATGCTAACTACCATCCTCGCCCAAACACAACGGCTCGTCATTATCAATGTATCTAGACTGACGGTTGCCCGAAATACAACCATAATGACAAGGCTCTGCTTGAGTGAAGACCGTAGGAGCAAAAAACTGGCCATTCACATGCTAATTAGGAGTGAAACCAAACTATGGAGGAAGGGTGCCCACCTACGTGTACGGAAGATTGATCATCAAGGATCTGAGCAAGCAAGATAGCCACAGACAGAGAGGAAACGGAAAAACTCGACAGGTGGGGATGAGAGGCAATCAATGGAGGTGAGAGAAAAAACACACTACCTCCTCAGCAAGGGCAAGAGCAAGGCGTTCGTGGCCCACATCTTCGCCCTGTTGACATACTTCTTCGTCCTCAGCACGGCAACTGTTTTCAAGAGTTACTTCACTGCCTTCGTTGTCATCCACATTCCCACTGACATCGTCGTCAGCACCCTTTGCAGCCCGTTCTCCTTCGTCCTGGTTTGCCCTCTTCCCAGACCTTTTCTGCAGCAACGAGAGCATGAAGCGAGCAAGGTCCGTGGCTTTCTTTCTAGCTAAGACCGGTGCACACGCAGATATCGGCTCGGTGCTGACCACGCTTCCATCTGCGGCAATTCTCCTCACACCTGGCCATTCAAGTCGCAACAAAGGCAAAAACACTCGTGCAATGCAGCGCTGCAAGACATAGATGAGTCAGATGGCAGCAGTATCCACTGGCAAAATGGACAGCCAATATGTCGAGGCACATCCCCACAGATAGACAAAAGCTCTAGGTTAATCATGCTTCCATCATAGACACCTAATCCGCTACTCAGCTGTGGACAGTGGTCGTCAATTCGTAATACGTTTTTCAAGTTTTTTTAGCGTTTCATCAGAAAAGCTTAAACCACCGCTACGTCCAAGGCTGTTTTTGTTGACCCGAATCGTGCTGCGTGCCAAAAGAAAACGAAGCGGCGCAGGCACAATTAAGTACCATTAATTGCCCCCGGCCACTCTGGTAGCGTAGTCTTCAATTAATTAAGTACCATTACTACCATACTCATACTTTGCCCAAAACAAGGTGAGAAAAAGACGATCCACAACAACGATTTACAGCATGGCAGCCTTTTACCCGTTGCTCTCATTGGGGCTAGGGCAACGTGTTTGTGATGATTTACGTCAATAGTTCACAGCTAGCCAGCCAGTGGGGTGCATTGGGAGCACCAGGGTTACCAGCGTTCGGGTCTGCCCAAAAGGTTCAGGCCGAACCTCCGAACATCCACCTCCCCCCCCCCCCCCGATACACGTTCGGGTTCGGCTGAATGTGGGGGGTTGAAAAAAAATGGCCCAGGTCAAAAACTATCCTGGCGCCTAAATGACAATAATTTCAATAAATGTTTTTAGCAGTGCTGGGCCGGCAACCGGCCCGTTGAGCTACCCCGGTCCAACCAGAGCCGGACCAGACCAGGGGGGGGGAACCGGGAAACCGGTGTTGAAAAAAAAGTGCCCAAATATCTTCTTCTTTTTTGGGGGGGGGGCAGATTCCGACTGCGCTCTTCAAGAGCTGTCCGAATCCGCAATAAAAATTTTAAGGCACAACATTTTTCAGGGGGCTTCCAGAGGGGGGCAGGGGGTTATCATTGACATATTCAGGCAACTACGGCTTCCCCAGGGAGGGGTCAAGTAAGCAAGTTCACTTATCCGACCCCCCCGTAGCTGGAGCACTTCGTGGAGTATGTCATTTGATATTGATACCCGATGAGCTGAACCAGATATGATGAGAGGAGGTCCTTGCCCGAAATTATATTTCCAGAGTATATTTCGACAGCAGAAAAGTTATGGTTCCAGCTTTCTGCTCGTGGAGGCAGAGCGTTTTCTGTTTGTTGGTTCCTACATAAGGTGAGTTGTCAGTCCGGAAGTATCTTGTCTGGCAGTCTGTCCAGATACATGTAGTGGAGCAAGGTCCATTCGAGATAGATAGAGAGAAGAATATGGGCCTCGCTGCACTACTCTCGAAATGTGCAAAACGAGAGTGAATCTTCCGCTAGAATTCGGAAAGATACACCGCCAAGATTTTTGTCTTTTGTGCATGTCGAGAGTAGTGCAGCAACGCCCTATATTTTAGGTCCATTCTTGGGATTGCACCTCGGACGGCTCTGAAATCACAATTCCAAAATCCGAACTCATAACTATTTCCACAGATGGCAGGGACATCGCAGAAGGATATAATCTCAGCAGAGTCTCATTAGAAGCATAGTGTTCCCCTCGTGGCTGAGGGTGAAAGAGCATCAGATGTTGCCAATGGTAACTGGTCCATTGGACCACAAGATGACAAATTGGATTAGGGGCCTACCCGACCCACATCTTAGGAAAAACGCATGGCTGTTCTCCGCTGCTGATCTGCATAGATCAGTGGCGGATATCCTCTGCCCGTTTTTCTTATAGAAATGGGGTCCTGGCCGATCTTTGCCGCTGATCTGCGACGATCGGTGACCTACAGGACCCGGTTTCGAAATTGCGGGGCAGGGCCCGCCCCCACGAGGCCTTGAAAACACATACGTGCCAACAAAAAACAAAATTCAGCCCCCAGCGAAAATGCGCTGGGGGCAACCGGGAGGGAACCGGCCCGGGCCACCGGCCGGTCCAACCGGAAGGACCGCGGATGGGGTAGGGGTCCCCGGTCCATCCAGGGACCAGCCCTGGTTTTTTGTAGTTTTACTTTTTTTTTGGAACATTTTTTTGCAGGTTCTTTGTGATATGAAACGGTTTTCACCTTTTAGCCGTAGCGGATGCAGTACCCAGGGTTCGATCCCTAGACCTCACCCTACCTATGTACAGTATCTGTATAGATCCCGAGAATTGAACCTGTGACCTGTGTATTCGCAGACAGTTGGTAGGTCTGTCGTAGGTCCATAGGCAGCAGGGGTTCGATCTGTAGGTCAATATCGTAGAAGTCTTAGTGAGTTCCGGAAGCTTAGCTGTAGACCTTCTAGAAGGTTGGCAAGTGGTCAAGTGGCGAGGCAAGTGGTGGACTAAGCCGCAGTGCAACAGCAGTACAACGTCGGTAGGATAGCGGTGAGTCCACAGTCAGTCAGCGGAAGGTCCAGTCAGTCCCAGTCCGGTCCAGCAAGTACCACAGGGGGACTGTGAGCACCAAGGGCCGATGGCAAAGGGCAGACCAACGAGTTTCTGAAGTATAAATCAAGAGGCAGCGCCCAGCCATTCATTCATTCCTGCGTGAGCCATGCGGAAGCGCTGCCACAGCGACTTGTGCAAGGAGGTCTGCAGATGAGCCCGGAGGACGCAGTGGGCAAGAGAAAGGGAGTTAGCATAGCGATAGGTTAGATGCAGCGATAGTTAGTAGTGAGTGTGTGTGTGTGTTCGAGTGTTAGAGTGATGTGTGTGGGATATCCAGGGTGATCCAGTGTATGTGAACAGTGAGATGTTTGGGCGCTGAAGTCGCCATAGTCAATTGAGAGTGAACTCGTATATGAAAGCCATATCTCTGAGTTTTGAGTGGGCGCATGTCGCCAGTATGCTGCGTTGCTGTTTACATGCATGAAAAGTGTGTTTGAGAACGAGTCTGATTGCCGATACGAGGGATCTCCATATATTTTCAAGCCATTTAAAAAATGATTTAAGTCAGTCAAAAAGAAAAGAAAAAAAAACGCCAAAGACAGTAACGTCAAAAACATGCTCTCCCACTCACTATTTTAGTATTTTTATTTCAGTATTTTGTTTTTAGTATTTTGTTTTTTTTCGACACCGCGATCTTTGGCGATTTGTTTTTTTTTCTTTTGACTTATTTGAATTCCCTGCAGACTTATACCAAGTTATACGGGCACACATTATAAAGAACCCACAAGAAAAAATTCAAAAAACAACTAAAATATTTAGGCCCCAAAATAAAAGAAACAGGGAAAAGGGAAAAAAGTGACTCGAAGAGCATGTTTTTGACACCGCCATCTTTGCCGATTTTTCTCTTTTTTTTCTCCTTGACATAAATGCCCCGAAAATTTACGGAATTTACCTTATCTGACCAAGAACCCACAACAAAATTATAAAAGAAAAGGCCCCAAAACACTTTTTGCGCAGGCCGAACTTCCCAAATGCAACGAACCTCTCAGTTCACCACCAGTGAGCGCACACAATCACACACCATGCATGAATAAGATCACGAAGTTCACACTGGAGGCCAGAGAAATGAAGCCCAGGTAAGCGTAGCTCAGAGTTCCAGCAAATTATCATACAAGCGATTAAGAGTTTCAGTCACGGCCGCTCAACAGCGCAAACCCAAGTATCCAGTATCTCCACTCAGGTATGTAACTCTTTCGAAGCTCTTCTCTTTTCTCTCGGTCTTCTCTCTGTCTACTACCTCTCTGTGTCTTCTTTCCCTACTTGCATGCACTCACACACCTTCTAATACTCAAGGACCAACTCTGAATACACCCACCGCTAACTCTACTAACCCTTCTGAAGTTTACTACTAACTACTAGCACTGGCGCAGCTATGGCTGTCTTCCCTCTACCAGCGCTGGGCAGCTATCACTGCTCCCTCTCTCTCTCTCTCTCTCTCTCTCTCTCTCTCTCTCTCTCTCTCTCTCTCTCTCTCTCTCTCTCTCTCCACTAGCGCAGCTCTCTGGCTCAGCGCTCTGCCCCTCACAATAGCGCACAAGTGCACCAGCACTTCCACACTTCATGCGAATGAGCAATCTGCCGAATGAGGAGGCTGGCCAGTCCTTATATTGTCTTGGACCGAGCTTCAGCTCATGCCAGCGTCTGCTTCTTACCACATCCCCACGGCCTGTCTGCTTTCTAATGTCAGGGCCTGGAAACTTCCCGAATGTTCATTGGTGTGCTGCTGCTTGGGCCTTTGAGTCACGACTTTTCGATTATGACACATGGTTTTGACTGTGGACTGTGTGACTCCTGCCTCTGGGACACGACCCTTGCCTATGGAATTGCCCTTTGTTCGTGGGATGTGACTTTCCAACATGACTTTTCATTATAAGACATGATTTTGCCCCTAAGATGTGACTGTTTAAAAGTGTGTGTTGGACTTTTCTGAAACTGACTGGCTCGGCCTTTCTTGGCCAGGGCCTCTGGCCCTGAAACTCGAATTTGGGGTCTGAATCGTGAAAAGCCTTTCACAAAGTTCGGCCCCCTTACCACGTTCGGCCGGACACCCGAACGTCCGGAGGTGGGTGTAGACCCCCCCCTTACGTTGGTTGGGTTAGGTAACCCAGGGGAGCATTATATTGTGTCAAAATTAAACACGTACACGTTCACAATGATATGTTACTAGCACCACTGCATTGAACCACGACAGCCACCCTGCAAATTTCACCGCCCGTCTTTTCCCCAACCTTGATATGCCACACCTCTGGCCTCAGCATAAAAAATGGAATAATTTTGCAACCGCCTCCTACCATTGATAAGCGATCTCGAACAGGAAGCAGCCACTGTTTTTTTCTTTGCGCCGCCATTCCGGGCCTCCTGGCTACTACCAGGCCACCCTGTAGACCCCTTGTATACTGGTGCAATATGGTGAATGGATTGTGGTTTACACTACCGCCGTCTCCAGATCTGGCAAGCCGGACAGATTTTTGCACGGTCCCCCAAAAACTGAGCAAAGCTTAGGAAACATCGGAGGCCGTTCCGAGATTTTTGCTAGCCCAGGAGAGCCTTTCAGGGTTCCCAAGGGTCGAACTTAGGAAACATCAGAGGCCCTTTTCGTCGTTGTTTCATGTGGGCTCAATTGTCGTTTTGTGGGGGGGTCAATTGTCATTTTCTGGCGCCCTCCACCACACCTCTGCCGGACCTTTCCTTAACCTTACAATGTCACAACCGTCTTCACCCGAATAGAACGACCACTAATTATTGCCGCATCTGGACTGAAAGTTGCACCACATACAGTTATGATGACAGATGACCGGGGCATTCTATTCGGGTGAAGAAGACGGTAGGAGTGAAATGCAGAGACCCTCTGTGGCGGTGGTGGTTTTCACCACCACTGCCTCCGTCCGACAGGCTCCACAATTTGTGCCGGTATAGAAAGATGATGTTGGACAGGTTAGCAGCAGCCTGGCGGTGGCCTGAGGCAGCCATCAAAAACAGAAAAAAAAAAAAAACTCCAGCCGCCAGTCTCAACCATTGAATCGCAATCCTGACAGATCAGGGCGGCAGCCACATTTTTAGTTGGCAACTCAGCAAATCAGGTTCGAAACTTTAGCCTCTTCAGAATAACCGGTGGTCTAAGGCCTCACTGTTACAAATCAACACCTGCAAAGGCTCAAAAGTAGCGGCGGTCTAAGACGCCACTGTTACAAATCAACACCTGCAAAGGCTAAAAATAGCGGTGGTCTAAGCCCCCACTGTTACAAATCAACACCAGCAAATGCTCAAAAGTAGTGGCGGTCTAAGGCCCCACTGTTACAAATCAACACCTGCAAAGGCTCAAAAGTAGCCGTGGTCTAAGGCCCTCCTGTTACAAAGCAACACCCGCAAAGGCTCAAATGTGGATCACAATCCCAACGATTGAGGTTGGCAGCCACGTTTTCCTTCGGCCACTCAACGAACTGCGCTTTGCAACTTCGGACGCTTCAAACATAGCCGCGATCTAGACCCTACTGCTTCGAATCAACAACTGCAAAGGCTCAAAAGAGAAGGATCCATGCAGGTGGCCAACCAACCTGTCATTGAATACCCACGTGACTGGAGGGAAAAAACGAGCTCCACTCTTCCTCCCACCATAGATACGAGCTTGACACCGGAAAATGAAAACATGAGGGGGAAATGCACGTCTTTGGCATTCATACCGTTCAACGTCTGAAGCCTCAGCTGGTATACAAACATCACATGGTGTGTACACCTTTGCATTCAATAGATAAACAGCAAGGCATGCATACCAGTTCCCTCCCATCCCCCCCCTCTCCCCTCCCCTGCCCCCCTAAAAGGGCGACAGCCTTGAGATATCATCATTGGACTGACGAGCCCCAGGTAATTCAGAATTATGTTCTTCTGTTCATCTGGCTCCATATGGACTGGAACCCGGGTCTGTATTTCATTAGTTCATGGGTGTACCAACTGGGCTACACCCGTTGGTAGGTACGCATACCTGGTTTTCCACATCAGCGACAGCATAATTTTCGAAGAAGACATACAGGCATTGTCGCATCCTGCAACCAGAGTTATCAGACAACAATATGTTTGATCAATTGCTTGCCTTCAATTTTGCATTGCTGGCATTTTTATACACTTGAGCAGTCTGTCAGGAAAACTGAATGCAGATCTCAAGACCGTGCTCACACTAGTATTTTCTCCATTAATTTTTTGTAATTGCCAGTTGGATACAATCACAGAAGTTCAAGTGAGACTATGCCCTACGCTAAACCCGCACCTCACGTGCTGGCAGAGATATGGAGCTCTGGGATTTTTCCCACAGTGGCAGGGGGTCCCAAAAAACTTTCTTTTTTTTCTTTTGGACGTGCTAATCTTCTCTGTATCTTTCCAATTTTGACGGATGTCCCGAAGGACAGTCCCAAAGAACTTTTATGAAAAGAACAGAAAAGAAATGCAGCACATTTGTGGTCTGCTGTGTACATCGCAGTATTAAGCACGTACTCACACTAGCACCATCGTAAATGTAATTGACCGCATTTACAGCCCGACGTGGATGTATCTGGCCCCAGTCACGTCAAAAAAAAAAGTAAAGCAGTCCTAGTGTGAGTATGCTCTAAGAACTTGTTTGTATCTGTGTATGCATACTTACAGAAATAGCCACACAGACACACCTAGTGGAAAGGAAGAAACAGACAAAATGGGGGTTTGTGTCAGACTGCTTCGTTGGACGACCATCGACTTACTAGGAGGCTGAACACTCAACAGTGTAAAGAGCCCCCTTCCCATGGCTTCCCCCACACTTATAGATACTGCTAATGTGCGCTTCCAATCATGACCGTTGCCAGCCCAAGCAGTGTTATGACTGTGATTCGCGACGCATCAAGCGTTTTTGAGTTTGGGATTAAATTGCAACTGTTGCTTGACATGTACCAAATCAACAAGTGTGGCCTCACCATGCAAAAAGGAAAAAGTGGAGAGCCGTTAGCCCCCCAGTACTTCCGAGCCCGGTTTATAGCATGCAGCATGCCACACACAGAAAAATGCTGGACGGCCCGTAGGACCTCTGAGGGCATCTGAAGGGGTCTGAAGGGGCCCTACTGGCCCACTAAACTCTATATGGGTGGCTGTGGTGGCGCACTGCACACTGTGCACATCAAGAAAAGAAACAAAGCCTTCCACACTGGCCAAGAAATTAGATGAACACCACCCACTCACATAGTGCATAGGTCACACAAGCACACATACACACGAAGCCACCCACCAACCTTCACACACATACACCACGAACCCACCCAACACATGCACACAGACAAATGCACGTGGAAAGATGCATGCAAACACACGCATGACATCTGCATAGCTCATGTCACACCCACCATGCTGGGCTCCATCCGATCACATGTGCTACAGAGTGTGTTCATTCGACGCCAGGTAATGCACCGATACTGCAGCCTGAGCTGGAGCTCGAGAACGCAAGGGCGATGCCTAAAATGCAGAAAACAGAGGAGCAACCCTTGCCATGCAATGCACTGATACTGCAGCACAAGCTCCAGCCTTAGCGTTTATTCACGATGCCCGAAACCCCGAATGCTGAGGAGCAAATGCAGAAGAGCCACCACACTGCGCACCCCTATCCTTCATGTCTTGTTTGTGGTCATGGTCATATGTCTCGAGACCCATGCATTCTTTGAAGCCCAACATTTCAGCGACCATTGCCCCGTACGCCAGTCTGCTGTCCCAGTGAGTAGTGAGCCCTTTCTCTCTTCTCTCTCCCCCCTTTCTTCTCCTTTCTATCTTCCCCCCTCCCCCTTTTCTCCTTCCTCTCCTGCTGTTCCCCATGAGGAATTGCTTAAAATGCAAATGAACGAGCACCAGCAAGAGAATCAAAACAATGTAAGGCGCATGTGTGCTGAAAGCGAAACAGGTGTGTGTGTCCATCCCGCGCTAAGGACGCAGACATGGCAGGGCTTGAACCATCCAGAATACATCAGCGAGATGGCCATTTCACAGAACATCATAATCATGTCAAAACGTCACATGGTAAAACATCACACGGCAAGACTGTTCCAAATATGATATCTATGCATCAGGGTTGAAAATGAGTTATTGTGGCAACTATGAACACGTGCACGCGCACACACCCACCCACCCACACACACACACACACGCACACGCACACACACACACACACACACACACACACACACACGCACACAAAGGCTGTGTGACATTGTGTGACCACGACCATGAAGGTGGTAGAGGTCGTTGACTTCAGGTGCTTGACCAAAGGAGGACGGTGAACGGTGTCCATGGCTCCATATTCTAAAGAATGTAAGGGAAAAAGGAGAAGAGGTTCTCACCTGGAGCATTTAGCTGTCTTTGGACTGAAGTACACCCTAAGGAGACGGGCCAATGCTAACTCCGGGTCAGGTAGGAGAACGCCTGGCTTGAACAAGGACTGACAGAGGAGAAGTTTTGCAAACCCCTCAGAAATCAAACCCTTCAGCCCCTCTCCAGTGTCATTGAGACCCCAGTCCGCATCAGCACGTTTCCCTTTCCCTCCTCTTTCCTCCCCTTCACACCCCTCCGCCTCAGTATCTTCAGAAAGGCTGTCATCACAAGCAAGGTGTTCTGCCATGATATTCAACAATGATCCCTGAGCTGGAGGGCCTCCAAACATCACTGATTCCGAACAACTTTCTCGCCTACGTCTGCCCTCTGTCTCTGCCTGTTCAGCGCCACATGAAGTGGGCCGCGTAGCCTCACTTTCATCCACATTCTGTGCGTCTAAAGCAGCTATTCCATGGCATAAGATCAGATCGAACACACTTCGGGCAGCCATCATCTTCACTACAGGAGCACCATTGGCAATCATGGTGTGAAGCACCGGCCCATACTTCCGTGTAGCATCAATGTCCAGGTGGCAATACAGTGCCAGGCATCGAACTGCTGCCCGACAAATAACTGGATCGGAATGGTTCAGCTGCAGGGAAGCCCAGCCACAGAACCACCACAAAAAGAGTTCAAGATCCCAGAGGCAAGGTACAGGACTGACCAGTGACCAGTCATAGCACATTCACAGAACCTCTCGGTTCTGGCACCTACCATTCCGGGAAGCAACAGTCCGGTTCCTATTCCCCCGGCAAGTCAAAGGTGGATACAATAAAGACACGCACACACACACTCCTCCCCATTATGGCTGAGAGTCCTAGCACAGGGACAACAACTTATAAGCATTCACCCTTTTTTACCAGAATGGTGCAATCGCATGGAAGCGCAGCTATAGACCAACCACAAAAAGAATAGTCCAAAATTTCAGAGACACGGTACAGGACTTACCAGTCATGACAGAGTGAAGAGTTTCACCCTCTTTGTTTTTCCACAAAGCATCGAGATTTAGACAAATGCCCTCTTCTTTATCATCAGTTCTCGGTACGCGGCATTCGGCTGTCAGCCACATACATCCAATATCATCCATGCATTGTTACCTATGTTTTTTTCATGATTCTGTCTTTGCCAAACTGAACACCTGGCATCATAGTTGTGCATCAGAGAATGGTTGCCTTCAATACAGCCATGATAGCAATTTGTTCGATTTGCGACAGGTCGTGGTACTCGAAGACTAGAGACCTGCACAAAAGTCCCAGAGTTTGGTGCCTATGGGATCTGATGGACCGATTGACAACTGCAATTTGTACTAATGCGCGAGGCTTTGCTTCCACAGTTAACGCATCGAGAACATGGTGTGCGATAATAGTATCACAATTCTCCTTCTGCCTCCAGCTCATGCAGTTTCCAGGACTGCGAAGATTCCGAGCTTTGTGATCCACTCTTTGTCTAGGAGTTAAGCTTGTTTAGTGTGCTCTTCAGACTTCAGAGCGAATGCAGAAATAGAGTTCAAATAGGTGAGTAAACAAAGCACAGTTCTAAGATGAGATGTGAATGCAGAGTGGATTCAAGATTTTGCCAACTTTTGATTTCCATTATATTTCCATCTCCTGACTCTCCTGTCTTTTCTATGCCCTAAATGTTTAATGGTATTCATGCATTTTGTCAACGAAGTCAGAATCATTGATTCATTGCAGATTCTATCTTGTAAGGCATTTTGATTACTTACCACCCCCATCACGAGGCCAGAACTGACAGAAAACGTGTTATGACACACCTCTCCTTTGCAGGACGGTTTCCACCCCAAAATTTCGTACAGTTGAGAATACCTCCACTCCTAAAGGAGTTCAAATTGTGGGAACTGGCAAAACTGTTTCCAATAGTGGAGCCTGAGTGTCAGTCCTTGCAGAAAAGCCTGACTTTCAGTCCTTGCAGAAAAGCCTGACTTTCAGTCCTTGCAGAAAAGTGCCAACCGACTACTGAATAAGAAGACGACGACGAAGAAGAAGAAGAAGAAGAAGAAGAAGAAGAAGAAGAAGAAGAAGAAGAAGAAGAAGAAGAAGAAGACGGCGACGACGACGACGACGACGAAGACGAAGACGAAGATGAAGACGAAGACGAAGACGAAGACGAAGACGAAGACGAAGACGAAGACGACGACGACGACGACGGCGACGGCGAAGAAGAAGACGACGAAGATGACGACGACGAAGAAGACGACGACGAAGAAGAAGACGATGACGAAGAAGAAGACGACGACGAAGAAGAAGAAGAAGACGAAGAAGAAGACGAAGAAGACGACGACGACGACGACGACGACGAAGAAGAAGAAGAAGAAGAAGAAGAAGAAGAAGAAGAAGAAGAAGAAGAAGAAGAAGAAGAAGAAGAAGAAGAAGAAGAAGAGGAGGAGGAGGAGGAGGAGGAGGAGGAGGAAGAGGAAGAAGAAGAAGAAGAAGAAGAAGAAGAAGAAGAAGAAGAAGAAGAAGAAGAAGAAGAAGAAAGAAGAAGAAGAAGAAAGAAAAAGAAGAGGAGGAAGCAGAAGACGACGACGTAGAAGAAGAAGATAAACACAAAGCTGGAACCAATGTCATCTCCTCCTCATCTCGTGTCCAACATCTCACCCCTCATCATCACCTCCAACATCTTCTTGTTAATAAACAACAACAACAGCAACAACAACAACAACAACAAATGAATGAGCCAGAGTTAATGTCCATTTATCCCCCTTACTGCCAGTCTTGGACAGTTGATGCCCTCCATGTAAAATGCTCTCATGCCCTCCACATCACCTACTGCCAAGCCTACTCTCCCAGATGAAGTCCAAACCCATCCGGTAGCCTTTCAGGGGCCTTCTTGATCCAGTGCCAACCTTGGAGACGAAGATGCAACCGTAGGATCTGCAAACCCTGCTACTCCAGAGCAGTGAGGGCTAACGACCTGCTTCCGCATGCAACTTGCTTCCTTCAGCCCAATTGCTCTGGTGTCCACAGGGCAGGTGGCAAGGACGGGAGGGGCTGTCGATAGGGCACAGGGAAGCAGGATGTGGTTGAGGCAGCAAGGAAGGGAGCGGGAGATTGCCGCAATTGTATCCCCTGCCCTTTCCGGGTTAATACCCACCGCAACCAATCACACACTAGATATTAGCTATCAATCTTCCATGTAACTGCATGGGTCCTGGGGACCAACTCACGCAGATGTGCATACATCAAACATCGTCTTCACACTCAATGGACACAGTTGCCACACACGAGACAAAGGTAGATGAGAATAGGACCAAGACCCGTCACTTATATTATCAAAAATTATGATTACAATGAGTTCACAGTTCCCTGAGTCAACGCGCTTCAGCGCAATACCAATCCCACATCAGATACATCAATGCCACCTTCGTCACTTGCT